GATTATTTCGGTGAAAAATTAAAATAAGCTGTAAAAGAACAATGCTTCTTATAGACAATATAGTTTTAAAATATAATAAAAAAAGTACTCAAAATTCGATATATATTATATTATATGTATATCACCATTCACCAGATTCGTCGATTTATGGATTAATTTTAATGATGACATTATTGATTATTTATCGCACAGGTGAGTGTGCACCTGATTTCACCGGAGACAAGGGGAATGGTGAAACGTGGGATYATACAGTCTGGCACCGTGAATGCACCCTGGAGCTACATGACTGGTGAACGGGCAGTAGACATAGCAAAGAAGTTGTTGGACGATTGCAATTGTAATTCGACGTCTTTGGAGAGCAACCCGATCGGTACCATGTCGTGCATGCGATCTGTCGACGCAAGTACCATATCCAAAAAGCAGTGGAACAGCTATTCCGGTATTTTGGGTTTCCCGTCTGCGCCCACCGTGGACGGTATTCTCCTRCCGGAAGACCCGCTGGATATGTTGGCTAAGGCGAACTTTTCGGACATCGACATACTCATTGGAAGCAATCTAAATGAAGGTAATGATTTTCATTTGTTTATTTTGGTAGGCTATTATAACTAGAAAAAAGGTACTTCATCGGTTTTCTCGGAAATCACATTTATACAAAGTGTCCACTGTCCAATGAGGATGAACTCATTAGCTATTAGAGGGGGACTCACAGTCCAGATAAAAACCAGTTTTTTTCTATTTTCTCTTTAAACTAAAAGAATTATTAAAAATCATGAGATTAATGAAARTAAAATGTTAATAGATCAAAATTTTCAGAAAAATAAACTCTATAAAATAGRTATCTTCATTTTTTCGAAAATGAAAAAATAACTTTATTTTTTTACTTTTTTACGAACCAAAAATAAAATTAAAAAAAATTTAGGCCTTGTCTATGTGAGTCTAATAACAAAAAAAGGAATTATGATACATTGATATATTTATTATATCAGCAGATATCGCATTGGCTAAATCCTCGCGAGACACTCTGTATAGATGGATTGGTTTAGTTATCAATGATCTGTAAATTGAYCTTACAATATCAACCATGTATATATGGTCAGTGTTTCCTATAAGGTATACGAATAAAACTTTAACTTTTTTTATATTAAAAACCAACTCTATTTTTTATTTTTTAAGTACTAACCTACCTATTTAAAACATTGGCCAAATAGATTTTAACGTGAGTGTTTCATACGTTAACATTAAAAATTGTTGAAAGAACAATTATATAAACATAATCCTATTAGATACAACAAAGATTATAATATTTGYGTATTYGCGTATTTTTTGGTCCTACTAAGTAAATATTTTTGGCAAACAGATAATTATTRTATCCAAAGTRTGGAAAACGAGTTTAGGAACCACTRATTTAGATCCATAATTTAAAGAGTCTATCTATAATTAAGAGCTGCTTCATAAATATATTTTGCGAAATTTGGTATCTAAAARTGATTATAAGTAAAACCTTYCAACTTGAGCAGTGTTAAAATTTAAAACTAGTAAGTTCTATCAACGTGATAAAATTACTAAATACTAGCTGACCCGGCAAACKTTGTTTTTTTTAAATTTTTTTTYAAAATTAAGTTGACCCGGTGAACTTAACGCCTTCAAATAAAGTCTAGATTGATAATAAAATTCAAGTATTCCATTGTAATGAATTGTTACAGAAATCCCTATTCACTTCCATATGAATTGTGTCATAATAAGATTATGGTCAACTCAATTAATAATAGTACTATTACATTATTTTGATTTTGATACCATGATTCATCATTTTATTATCTAATCGAATTTTGCATGTGTGAATTTCGAACATATTTAATTGCTTCTCAAAAAACATTCGTTTAATTCAAAAAAAAAAAAAAATTCTAACTGAAAAAAATGTATTCACCTATATCCGATAGGTGGCTATGCGATTATTTTTTATACGTGAAAAAATCGGTTCGTTTTAATCCCATCGTGCGGTTTTATTGGTCTAATTACTTGAATCGTGATCACARTAAWGATTAACAAATTTAAAACATACCAGGTACAGAATGAAATTAATATTCACATTCAACATTACGATTTCAAGCAATTTAAAGCATTGTGACCAATAAACGTGTAAAAACAATTTAAATTTGATAAAAATTGTTGAAGGAATTGTGTAAAAAAAAACATTCGAACACAATAAAATGTTTATTCATATGCTAAACTTTTTTTAAGTTTTGTAGATTCAAAATTAGAATATTAAAATATACATTTATTTTCCTTAGATATTTTTCAAAGTTACATTCAAACATGGCATGGCGACAACTTAGAATTGAAAATTCTGATTTGCTCTTGTTTAAAAGTTATTTTTATTATTTCATATATATATATATATACCTACCTACACCATATAAACTACGGGCTACCTCAAAGTTTTTGTTTCAAAAAAATATGAAAACGTTCCTTCAGGCTTCAATAACTTCTAAAAGGTTTTAACTTCGTATATTTTCTTAAGTCAAACTGATTCACCAGTCAAGGTAAATTATACATTTATGTACATCCAATGAAATATAACATTTTTTATTTTTAACAGAAGTATTATTTATTTTATTCATTTACTTGGATTTTGTTATAATTTACAATACCMTATAAACTAATAAAATAAAATMAMATCACATCACGGTTAATGAGATTTAACTAGGATAATATAAAAATATGATTTCATAATTGCGTATATTATTTTAAGAAAATGCTACTTCGACTTATATTAATTTGTCTATTGCTTATAGGTATTTTCATCATACTCGTAAGTAAGTTTTTCAATTAAATTWAAAAAAATTGAATGCATCAAAGATGGATAAATTTAACAATGTAAAATAATTATTTTCTACCCAGTCTGTTTGATACTATATGGGTAGACAAGTTAACAATAAAATATTTAAAAAGTAAAGCACTTCGGTTTGGCGTCCCTTTA